ATTACTGGACCAGAATTTTCCTCTCCAGGGTGAGCAGAATCTGGGTGATCATACCATATTCAAAGACCACTGATTATTGTGACTCAGCAAAGCCTCAGTTCAACTTTCAGAAGAAAGATGTGAGTTGCAATGGAAGGGGAAGGGCAGGGTACAGATTTGTCAGGAAAAGACACTTCATTGGAGGATTGGTGAGGCTGTGAGTTGGAGGCAAGGGGTACCAGGCATAGCTAAGGAGATTACTTCCTAAACACATACATGTCATTCCCTGCAATCTCCACTCTGTCTTTCTTTTTTTCTTTTTTTAAGGTTTTATTTTCATTTATTTATTTATTTTTGGCTGCACCGGGTCTTAGTTACGGCATGCATGCAGGATCTAGTTCCCGGGCTAGGGATTGAACCTGGGCCCCCCTGCACTGGGAGCACGGAGTCTTACCCACTGGCCCACCAGGGAAGTGCCCTCCACTCTCTGATTGTTCTGAGTTGCTTGAACCACGGTTCTCACCTGCTCATGTCATTTCAACTCACTTGATGCAGTCTTGTGTCTGCCGCCACCACACTCATGAATCTGTTCCAGTAAATATTTTCAAATCCAGTGGGTATTTTCCAGTTCATGCTTTACTAAACTCTTTGTTGCATTTGACAGTCTGACCACACCTTCCTTGAAATGCATCAATAAGAATGTCTGTGAAGCCACAGGCAAAGATACACTTAGAGAGTTGTCACTTTCCCCCCATCCCATTCTACCCCATTCCTGTCGCCCCCATTCTTTCCAGCTATTCCCACCTGTCCCCTGAAGGTAACCAGTTTCTTTGGTTTCTGGTCTACCCTTTCTGTATTTCCTTTTGTACACATAAGCAGATACATGTGTATTTTCTTACATCCCCTTTCTTACATAAAAGGTAGCATACTATAGATACTCCTTCTCACTTACCAGTATAGCCTGGGAATCACTCCATATTGGTCCATAGAGATCTTCCCCGTTATTTATGCCTTCTAATATTGCTTTTGGTCACCACTCTCTCTTCTGAACTTCAGAACCGAATATCCAACTGCCCACTGGACATCTCTACTTGTATCTTTCACAGACTCGAGCATGGCATCTGAAGCAGCAATGCATCAGTTTCCTATGCTCAGTTCTTTTTTTGGTTTTGTCTTGTATTCCTAATCTCAGCATATGATGCTACCAAAATGATCTGGAGGGCTTCCCTGGTGGCGCAGTGGTTGAGAGTCCGCCTGCCGATGCAGGGGATGCGGGTTTGTGCCCTGATCCGGGAGGATCCCACATGCTGCGGAGCGGCTGGGCCCGTGAGCCATGGCCGCTGGGCCTGCGCGTCCGGACCTGTGGTCGGCAACGGGAGAGGCCACAGCAGTGAGAGGCCCGCATACCAAAAAACAAAAAAAGATCTGGAACAAAATAATCTGCACATTATATCTCCCATGCACAACCGATTAGTGGCCAACTCCTCTGGCTCCTCATCATGGAGGATTGATTCCCTCCTTCCCACCCCTACCAGAGCTGCCTGTGGTCATGTCTCACTGTGGTGTCCTAGTTTTCTTCCCCTCTAATTTGATCTTTAATCCATTTCCCATTTTTCTGGAGTTGGGGACAGCAGACATTTTCTATAAAGGACAAGATAATAACTACTTTTGGCTTTGCTGGCCCTATGGTCTCTGTCAAATCAACTCAGCACAGCTGCTGTAGTGTGACAGCAGTATAGATAACGTGTAAACAAATGGGCATGGCCGGATTTGGGTCTTAGTGGGTTGGATTAGGCTCACAGGCTGTAGTGTGCAGACCCCTATGCTCTGGAGCATTGCTTCCAAAATGCAAATTTGATCACAAATCTTAATAGTCCTTGCTGACAAATATCTCTTTATGGATTTCCACGATCACAACAGTGGTCTCCAAAGTGGAGGATGGGGGCACCCCAGGGATCCACTGGGCTTCTGTTCACCTCAGATTAAACGTATTCTTTCAGAGATTGGTTTCATTCAAGGACCTGACTGCAGACTTCACCCAGGAGGAGTGGCGGCACCTGGACCATGCTCAGAGGCTCCTGTAGAGAGATGTGATGCTGGAGAACAACCGCATCTCAGTGGGTAAGTACAGCTTCCCTGTGTAACTACCAAGAGATGTGTTTGCTCTGTGTTGCAGAAACATGTTGAATTCCATTATTTAGCCTTGAGTGTCAGGGGGGAGGTGATTAAACCCTTTGAGGCAATGTTAGCGTTGTGCTTGTGCTCACTGCCCTCCCTCCACCCTTCTCCTGAATGTTCTAGCTCTAATGACCTGTTGCTGGACATCTTCATCACACAGCTTTTGAAGCTGTCTTTCTTCATCCTTCAAGTCCCCAAAGTCCAAAGGGCTTGGTCCAATTTCTATATCATTTTAACAGGGTATCAACGTTAGCAAACCAGATGTGATCTTCAGACTGGAGCAAGGAGAAGAACCATGGACAGTAGAGGAATTCTCAAGTCAGAACTACTCAGGTGAGTGATAACTAAGCAGGTGGAAACCCGTGGAAATGAGAGTTCTATGGTGGTTAGTGAGTGTAGTTGGCATCTTTGCACTGTTCCTCAGGAATCTCTTTTTATAGGCCCCAGACCTTGGGAAGGAATTGAGGACAAATGACTGTCATGCTATAGATACTTAAAAACATTGTCCCCGAATAAATGTACTTCTTTTTTTTTTTTTTACTTTTTATTTATTTGTTTGCTTGTTTATTGTTGGCTGTGTTGGGTCTTTGTTGCTGTGTGCGGGCTTTCTCTAGTTGCGGCGAGCGGGGTCTACTCTCGGTTACCACGCACGGGCTCCTCATTGCGGTGGCTTCTCTTGTTGCGGAGCACAGGCTCTAGGCGCGTGGGCTTCAGTAGTTGTGGCGCATGGGCTCAGTAGTTGTAGCTCGCGGGCTCTAGAGCACAGGCTCAGTACCTGTGGCACACGGGCTTAGTTGCTCTGCGGCATGTGGGATCTTCCCAGAGCAGGGCTCGAACCCATGTCCCCTGCATTGGCAGACGGATTCTTAACCACTGCGCCACCAGGGAAGTCCTAAATGTACTTCTTTAATCGAAATTTATAAAGATTTTTGCTGCTAAGTTATCCATCTCTGGTGTACAGACCCTCTTTTAGCGTACTCTGAACTTTAGTTCTGTGGCATTCTCTTTTGCCTACCTGACCCCACCTTCCTTTAACATAGACTTGCTGTATATGCAGACATTCATAGGTCAGTCTTAAAAAAATAAATCTTGCTTGATTTACACAATCTATTTGCAAATCTAGTTGCATTCCACGTTTCTCTCCATCCTTTAACTGAGAGACCAGTTTCACTCTCCACGCTCAGCCCCACTGCGGGGGGACTAGGGTGAGACAACCAAGGTGCCTCAGATACAAAACTTAAGAAGACACTCACTCTTGGGGTGGTGCAGGTGCCCTAGAGGTCGTGCCTACCTCACCCTAGTTCCAGCCCTGCTCAGCCCACAATCTTTCTTTCTATTCTTTGTATTTGTGCAAATTCTGAAGTTCCCATGTTGCTGGCAAAATTTGAGACTCACCCCTTCCTCTGTGTCTCTTTGTAACTCTGACTATCTCTCTGAAGTCTGTTCTGCTGGTCTCACTGTCTCTGAGTGCTTCTTTGAGTCTCATCTGTCTTATTCAATACTGTGTCACACACACTTGCAGTATACTTTGTGCTTACTGTTCCTTGTGACTGTTTTCCTTTTTCTATGGCAGAGGTACTCGTATTCTTTGCTACTTTCCTCTTCCTTTCATCCTGTTAGACAGGCTGGTGTGGGTGGGCTGGCTTTTTTTCTATTGTTTGTTTTTCCTTTCCCCCAAATCAGTCGGAGATGTTTGTATTTGACATTTCCTTAATCCTGAAGAGCTGAGCCAGTCCACCACAACAAGGCATTTGTAAGGAACTCTCATTTCATAGCAAGTGTGTCACGGATCACATGTTATTATTAATGGTACTCCCTCCTAGAAGCTGATGATGCCTTAAAGGAGGACAAGGCAATCCAAGGCAAACGTTTGAGGCAAATTGTATTCTTCTGCAATAAAACACTGATTACAGAGAGAGCTACTGTATTTGGGAAAACATTTAATCTGGGCATGAATATTGTTCCCTCAAGAAAAACACCCTACAGATATCCATGTGGAAACAATTTAAAAACTAATTCAGTAGTAATCGTTGCAAAGAAAAGCTACTTTAAAAAGGTTCCTGATGAATACAGTAGATGTGGGAAAATGCAACTCGTTTCTAAGCAAGAGAAAAGTCGTTCTGGAATTAAACAATACAAATATAATCCTGTTAGGAAAGCCAGAAGTCAAAATGAAGATTTGATTCTGCACCAGAACATTCAGGCTTTGAAGCGACCTTTTGGCTATGGAAAATGTGGGAAAACCTCTTCAAGAGGGCAGTCCTCTTCACATAGAAGAGGATACATTCTGAAAGGAAACCAAGTTAATGTAATGAATGTAGGAAAACCTTTTCTAAGAAGTCCACCCTCATTGTACACAGAGATTTCATACAGGGGGGGAAACCCTATGTTCATAATGACTGTAGGAAAACTTTCCGTGTAAAGACAAACCTTACTCGACACCAAAGAATTCATACTGGAGATCGACCCTATGAATGAAGCGAACGTGGAAAAACCTTCACTGACAAATGGGCCCTCGTCGTGCATCAGAAAATTCAGAGGGGAGAAATCCTATGAGTGTCATGAATGTGGGAAGACCTTTTTTGGGAAGTCAGCCCTCACTGAACATTTCAGGTCACACACGGGAGAAACCTTATGAATGCAAAGAATGTGGGAACACCTTCAGCAAGAATCTTACCTCGCTGTTCATCAGCAGACACAGAGGAGAGAAACCAAATGAATGTGAAGAATGTGGGAAAACCTTCTGTCATTCAGCCCTCTGTGTGCATCAGAGATCTCACACAGGAGAGAAACCCTACGAATGCAGTCAGTGTGGAAAAATTTTATGTACTAAAGCAACCCTCATGGCACATTGGATAACTCATAGAGGAGAGAAATCTTACCTACGTAACAAATGTGGGAAATTTTTCTGCCATAAGTCAACGCTCACTATACATCACAGAACTCACACTAGAGAGAAAAGCAGTGTGTTTAATAAATGTGGTAGAACATTCGCTGTGACGTCAAACCACAGTGAATATAAGAGAGTGCACACAAAGGGGAATCTTTATGAGTGCAATGGACGTGGACATGCCATCAACAAAAACTCACACATCAAGCATCAGAGAACTATATGGGAGAGACCATATGAATGTAGCCAGTATGGGAGAAGCTACTGCCGGAAGTCGGCCCTCACTCGCCATCAGAGGACACACACAGGAGATAAACCCTACGAGTGTAATGAATGTGAGAAAACCTTCCACCAGAAGTTCTCCTTTGTTCAACACCGGCGAACTCACACTGGGTAGAAGCTGTATGAATGTGCTGAACGTGGGAAATCCTGCCATAAGTCAGCCTTCAGAGTACATCGGAGAATTCATATGGGAGAGAAACCCTAGGAATGTAACAAGTGTGGGGAAGCCTACCATCGGCTGTGGACTCTCACTGAACATCAGAAAATACACACAGGGAGAAACCCTATGAGTGTCACGGATGCGAGAAAACATTTTGCCACAAATCAAACTTCCTGCTACCTCAGAAGACTCATAAGGAATGAGCTCCGAGAAAGCGGTCATCAACAAAGGAACAAATCAAGTAATTTACACAATGCTAAAGCTCTGTGGATAGGCATAGAGGAGTGAAATTGTATAAACACAATTAATGTGAGAAAACTTTCAGCCATAAATCAAACCTCATTATCACATCAGAAAACTCACACAGGAGAATAAAATAGAGTGTGTTTAATAAGTGTGTTGTAACATTCACTAGGCACCATGAAAACGTTCAACAATTCAAACATTACGCCACGTGTGCCTCCCTTTTAAAATAATGAAAGAGATGATGTTTAAGTTAATCTGTTCCTTTCCACATTGTTGTGTGACAGTATGTTTGAGGATCTAACCTTATTTCATTCCACATCAAAACCAACTGTTCCTATGATAATTTAGTAGCTTATAATTTCCTAATTTATGGTGCTCTAAATTCTCAGATTGAACAGGTTGGGTTTTGTCTTCTAACTCTGTCTCCATAGCCTTCTAGTAATGGACCCAAATCCCTTCATCTGCAGAGGTGGTGATAAGGGGACTAACCATGGTATTCCATCCTCCTGGTTCCACTTCCTACCTGCATGATGGAACCTCCATAAAAACCCCAACAGTATGGGGTTTGGAGCTTCCAGGTGGAGGTGCTGGGGGAGTGGCTTCCCCAGGAGCTCCATGCCCCTTCCCACATACCTTGCCCTACTCATGTCTTCCATCTAAATGTTCACCTGTATCCTTTATCATATCCTTTTATAATAAACTGGTAAACAGCAAGTAAACTGTTCACCTGAGTTCTGTGAGTTGCTCTAGCAGGTTAATCAAACTCTAGGAGAGGGTCACGGGAACCTCTGATTTATAGTCAACCTGTCAGAAGCACAGGTGACAACCTGGACTTGGGATTTGAAGTTGGGGTTGAGGGGCAGTCTTGTGGGACTTGTACCCTTACCCTGTGGGATTTGACACTATCCCCAGGTGGGTATAGTCAGAAATGAGTTAAATTACAAGACACTCAACCAGTATCACAGAATTGCTTGGTGTGGGAAAAAACCCCACACATCTGGTGTCACAAGTGTGAATGTGGTGGTAGTGTGGGATAAAGGAGAAACACAGGAGAACTGAGTTTTTCCTGCACACAGGGGTTAAGACTTCAGTGTATCTTTTGGAGCGACTCACATCAACCTACAACACCCTGTTGGATTCTGTCCTCAAACATGTGACAGTGGATTTAAATAAGGAATTAATTATTAAAAGCAAAAAAAGGAAGTTGTGCACACTGTGTTAGTGTTTAGATGACATTTTAAGCCTCTATGTAAGCACTTCTATCTTCTCTCTCCACTTATCATACCGACAACTCTATTATTTGCTTAAACAGTAGAAATATCTTATGTGTTTTAACATTAAAATCCGATAGGAAATTAAGATTTTTCAGCCGAAACTTGCCAATGAGAATGTCTTGAATGGCCTAACTTTTTGCGTAATGACTGTCCTTTTATCCTTTTTATTTTCATATAATTAGAGACTTTTGGCTCATAATTAGCGATAGTTCCCAGGAAACATAGCAACAGATATAAAAAGAATATGTTAGACATTGCTTATTGGAATCTAGGCTTCTATTGAGTCTGGTGTTAGCAAATTTGGAATACTAGACTTTTCAGTACAAGCTGTTCTGTTCTATTAAGCTTCTTTCTTTTCTCCTTATAATATAGACTTTACAGTTAGGGGCCATGTTGGAAATTCTTAATTTTTTAAGCACATAAAATAATTCCTGTTAAATTTGACTCTAAACCAGAATTTTAAGGACCAAAATTAGGCCAAATTTTCCCCTCCTTATTCCAATAACCATTTTACATTTTTATAATTGTATTTATAACATTTATTTTGCACTCACTTTAAAACTTATTTCAGTTGCATTTTCAGCTCATATATAACTTAACAGACACATTATAGTTTTATAGGTTATTTGCAAAAAGTGAACTGATGTACACACCTTTTCTTAGAGATAAAAAGCACATAAGGAACGATCATGAGACGAGGGGCCACATCTGGGGATTACAACAATTTAGCTCTGTGGCAGCCACTATTATACTCTAATATCTGGGAAAGCAGAGGTCAGAAAGATGAGAAGATGACCCTCGAAGAAACAGTGTTGTCTTTCCATCACTTTCTATGGATTGAGGCCAGTCCTAAAGAGACTTGTTAGACTACACCCATCCCACTTGGCTGAACAGGGTTAAGCTGCCACCAATGATTATGGGAACCAATTCAGGAAAGTCTAGATTTCTGACACAAGACCTGATTGTATCCAGCATTACACACCAGTATTAGCATGCACTAGAAAACTTATGATTTAGTCATCAGGGAATACAGGAAATCAACTTATTACAGATAACACTATGAGTAATAAATTCTCCAAGTCCTGAATCTAAGTCCTAGAATTGTTGCAATCTCTCCATCTCCTCTTCATTCTCCAGATACTTCCAAGAATGGTGCCAGCTATTTGGGGAGGCTGGGTGTCTCCGAGTTGTTTTCATTTAGAACAGGAGCAGAAACTGTCTTCTCACCACTGACCCACAACCTTTGGATTTCTCATGTCTACCCTCTTAACTCTTTATCCTTTGGTTTTTTAAATAGTGACCCACTTTTTGTTTTTCATTGTTCACTGGCAAAGTTTCTTCTTCTCTGAAGTTTTAATTCCAAAGAGATGGCTTTTGTTTTCCTTACTTACACTTAGGTTAGGGTTGCATCCTCTCCATACAAAAGTTTACACTTTTAGAGAGCTACCTCTATTAAAAATATGACTTTATTCACCCAGTGAAAATAGATTATGAACAAACAGCAAAATGAATCTGTTCTTTTTACTACACCCTTTGAGCTGCCTCTTAGCCTACTTCCCATCATAGGAGCTGCCTCTTAGCCTACTTCCCATCATAGGAGCTGCCTTATTCAGTTTCACGTTTTGCTTGAGCATGTTTAACTATTTTTGCTCAAAGATTTGAGTCAATTATAATATAGAAAGTACATCTCTGATCACATCTTCCCGTTTCTTCAACGTGTATTTAAATTTCTAAAATATTCCATACAGGATGAATTCATGCAGAAGAATGGGCTTTGGTTAAAACACTTTCCACATTGATCTCTTTGGTTTCGATTTTTGATTTCTAGTAAAAGGTAAGTGATTTCTAAGTGCCTTCCTGCATCTTCTATAGTCTTAGGGTTTCTTTTTATTATGAGTTTTCAGATGTCGAGAAAGTTTAGAGTTTAGACTGAAAGCTTTTCCACATTGATTACATTTGAAGGGTTTCTCTCCAGTATGGATTTTCATATGCTTACTAAGGTTTGAACTATGGTTAAAAAGCTTTTGACACTCACTACGTTTATAGGGTTTCTCTTTAGTATGAATTTTTTTATGTCGGTTAAGGTCAGAGTAATAGCGAAAGGTACTTTCACATCTGTCGCATGTAAAGGGCCTCTCTTCAGAATGAATTTTCTGGTGTTTAATAACATTTGACTGATGTTTAAAGGTTTTTTCACAAACATTACATCTGTAGGGGCTCTCTCCAGTATGAGTTCTTCGGTGTCGCGTTAGATCTGAGAAACGGACAAAGGTCTTTTTACAGTTATCACAGATGTAAAGTTTCTCCCCAGTGTGGATTTGTTGATGACGATTAAGATCTATGAGCTGGGTAAAGGTCTTCTCACATTCATTACATGAAAAGGGCTTCTCTCCAGTATGAATTTTCTGATGTTTGTTAAGATTCGATTGGCTTTTAAAGGATTTTTCACAATCATTACATTTGTAGGGTCTCTCTCCAGTATGAACTCTTTGATGTAAGAGAAACTGAATATTGATTGAAATCCTTTCTGCAGTGATTACATGTGTAATATTTCTTTCTAGTATGAGTTTTTTGGTGTTGATTTTTTTTTGAGAAACTGTGAAAGGTCCTTCCACAAAATGTACAGACAAAGAGTTTCTTTTGTGGAGGAATTCTTTGATGCTGAGTCAGATTTGATCTCTTGCCAGCATGAAATCTCTGATGTATAATAAGGGATGAAAGAAACCTGAAGGCCCTCGGACACACATCACACTTGTGTGGTTTCAGTCTGCCGTGTGTGCTCTGATGTTGAATAAACTTTGAAGCTCTGTTAAATGTTTGCCACATTGGTTACATTCAAGGTGTTTATCCAGAATGTAAATTCTTTGGACCACTGTAAATGATGCGGGATGCCTAAAGTCCTTTGCATTTTCATCGTATCTGTGGGCTTTCTCTACCTTGTGAATTCGCTGGTGTTCAGTAAGTTGTGATCTATAGCTAAAAGCCATGCTGCGGTCACCACATTCATAACGCTGAACAAAAGTAGAGGGTTTTTGATATTTTGCATGGTGAGAGCTTTGCCTGAAGGTATTCATAGATTCATAAAGGGCATGATAATTCACCAGTGATGGTTGACATGCTAATGGGAAGACAGTATGAGAAAAATAAAATTAAATCCAGGCATCACAACAAATGAGATCACTAGTTAGTGGGGTAGCAGGGAGAGAAGGGTTCAGTGACGGAGGACTTTGGAGGGGTAGGAGGAGAAGTTGGAGTTTGTCAGGGGAAGAATGAGAGAGAAGTGTTCTCCAAGTACAAGGATAATTTAAGTGATCAACGTGTATCCAGTGAAAAATTTCTTTCAACTTGAAATACTTAATATTTGTAACTGAAAAATGACTCGTTGAAATTGTAATCACCAAAACAGAAAAATTTAAAGACTCTGAAAAGAGCCACATGAAATTCTAAGCAAGGATTAAAGTTTTATTTTCACTAAGATCCTTTAAAATCTCTCTCTATAGATACAGCAATTTGTGAAAGTGATTATACTTTAAATACTTGGAACAACAAAACTGGGGATTTCTCTATGAGTAAATATTAACCTGGTTTATCAATTTTACTAATATTTAATATTTTACTTTATGACAGGGTTATTATTGATTGGGCCAGTGCTCTACTTGGATATTTGAGTTCTGTTTATTTTTGTTGTTGCCAAGAACACTAAGAACAATCATATATACACATCTTCGTTAATTTGTTGAAATGTATTCTAGGCATAGATTCTTAGAAATGAAAAGGAGTCCTATTTTTTTATGTATACACACACCACACTCAAGTAAATTCTTATATTGCATGAGCACATCTTTACTTTCTAGTATCTTGATAACCCTAGACTCTATCAAACTTAAGACCCCACAGTTTGATAAAAAGATAATTTCTAGCATTTATTTTTTGGGGTAATAAAGAAATCTAAATGAAAATGGGTTAATTGCTAGGAAAATTTTTTAATTAAAAAGGTTAATTAACGATGGAAAACTAGCATGTGTTTCTTTTACCCTCATCATTCTAGATCTTAAAATGCTACGGAAGTCATTAGAAAATGTATGGCTACAGAGGAATAGTTTAAAGATATACATGACTAATACTGTCTAAAAGACATTGCAACATAAGATGAAATCAGGTGGTAATAAAAAAGAACAAAGTGAAAATTGATTTGAAGGTGTAATATTTAAGTAAACCTAATAGTTCACATGTATAGAAAAATCGTATGGCCAAAGACCAAGTTATACAAAGACAACACAGTAACCTGGGAAACCTGGTTGGAGAACCCAGAGGAAAAAGGACTGAAGAAATAGAATATGTAACTCAAAAGTTAGAACAGTCAGGATTAAAAGAGAAGTATCACCATCCATTAATATAAGTCCCATAAGGGAAAAAAATGTTAGAAGATTTGCCAACTTCAAATGGCTTAATATATGGACAACGGGAATCTCTGAAAGAGATGAGAAAGGGAGATGGAAGGACCAGAAAGAAAACTATTTAAAGAAATAATGGCCCCCAAATTTCCAAACACAGTGAACACTATAAACTCACAGATCTAAGAAGACCAGCAAAGTCAAGCCTAGGAAACATGAAGAGAATCACAGCGAGGCATATCATAAGCAAATTGCTCAAAGTCAGTAATAAAGAGAAAACTGTAAAATCAATCAGAGGGGGAAAAAAATGCTATGCATGAAGATAAGGATGACATTAGATTTCTCACTGGAATACTGCAAGCAAAAAAAAAAAAAAAAAAAAAGGAAGATCTTTAATGTTTAAAAGAGAAAGAAAACAAAAACCTATCAACCAGAATTCTATGCCCAGCTAAACCCTTTCAAAAATGAAAGCAAAGGAGCTACCCTGGTGGCACAGTGGTTAAGAATCTGCCTGCCGGGCTTCCCTGGTGGCGCAGTGGTTGAGAGTCCACCTGCCAATGCAGGGGACATGGATTCGTGCCCCGGTCCGGGAAGATCCCACATGCCATGGAGCGGCTGGGCCTGTGAGCCATGGCCGCTGAGCCTGTGCATCCAGAGCCTGTGCTCTGCAACGGGAGAGGCCACAACAGTGAGAGGCCCACGTACCGCAAAAAAAAAAATCTGCCTGCCAATGCAGGGGACATGGGTTTGATCCCTGGTCCAGGAAGATCCCGCATGCCACGGAGCAACTAAGCCCATGTGCCACAACTACTGAGCCCGTGCTCTAGAGCCCACAAGCCACAGCTACTGAGCCCATGCGCCACAGCTTCTGAAACCCGCGAGCCTAGAGCCCGTGCTCCGCAACAAGAGAAGCCACAACCATGAGAAGCCCGTGCACAGCAATGAAGACCCAATGCAGCCAAAAATAAATAAATAAAATAAATTAATAAATAATAAAAATAAATTTAAAGAAATAATTTTTTAAATGAAAGTGAAAAAAATCAGACATACAAAATTTGGATTTAACCAAAGGAATAAAAAAAGTCAATCATAACTACATGCTAAATATGTAAGTTTGTTTAATAATGATAAAGAGGTCAATTCATCAGGAGCATTGTTTATGCACCTACAGAGCTTCAAAATACATGATGCAAAAAGAACGTCAAAGAGAAATAAATTCACAATTATAGTTGGAAATTTCAATACCCCACTCTCAATAATTGATTCAAGAGGTAAGCACAATATCAGATATAGTTGAACACAACTATCAATCAGCTTCCACCTTAAAATCTTTTTTTTTTTTTTTTTTTTTGCGGTACGCGGGCCTCTCCTGTTGCGGAGCACAGGCTCCAGACGCGCAGGCTCAGAGGCCATGGCTCACGGGCCCAGCCGCTCCACGGCATGTGGGATCTTCCTGGACCGGGGCACGAGTCCGTGTTCCCTGCATCGGCAGGCGGACTCTCAACCACTGCGCCACCAGGAAAGCCCAGAGGCAGCTTTTTGAATATTATGTTAATATTATTCATATTCATATCTGATAGGAAATACAGGTATTCTGATTTTTTTTTAAGTCCTGGCTTTTTTCCTAGGTTTTTTTTCTGTTCTTCCAGATGAAATTTAGATGTGTTCTGTAAAGTAAAATAAAATTAAAATTAAACGAAGAAACCACATCACTCAACTTATTGAGATTTTGATTGGAATTTTGTTAAAGAATGTTGTCTCCCTATCTAGGAAGACAGTATGTGTCTCTGTTCACATTTAATGTCACACATTAGAGTGTAATAGTTTCTTTTGTGTAAGTTCTGCCCAATTCTTGTTAACCTAGTCCTAGATACTGACTGCTACTGTGACTGGAACTTATTTCCTATTACTACTATTGGCATAAGAGAAACAACTGATATAAAAGTACGTTGACCTGCACATCATCTTAATCATAGAATCAAAGTTAATATTGCCAGAAATGGGACAAACTGACATCATGTGTGTGAAACTCATCTGGTATAATTTACTGAGAAGAACATACCATCCATTATGTTATGCCAAGAAATGTATAACCTGAATTTAATTGTGGGGAAACAGTCAGACAAATCCAAATGACGGAACACTTCAAAACAAGTCTGTCCTCTTCAAAGTTACCAATGTCATAAAAGACAAAAAAGGCTGAGGAAGTAGATGAAAGAGGTGTAAATGACATGACAACTGGATGTAAGGACTCTGAATCAGATGCTAGATCAGAAAAAAAAAAAAAAGTTATAAAGGACATTATTGGTACAACAGGTGAAATTTGAATATGGTCTAGATATTTGATAATAATAGTATATCAGTGTTCACTTTCTTGAATTTGATTTGTGGTGGTTATGTAAAAGGTTGTTCTACTCTTAGAAAATATATGCTAATTTTAGGGGTGACAGTTCGTGTTTGAACTTACTCTCAAACGGTGAGGAAGATGAGAGAGAGGAATTGAGAGAATGCAAATGTGGCAAAATAATAACAGTTGGTGCTAAGTAAACATTTTACAGGTGTTCATTCGAAATGAATCATTCCTGCAACTTTTCTGTTAAGTTTGAAAATTTTCAAAATAAAAATGCAAAAAGAATAAGAAAATTATTAACCACTTGTTTAATGACAAGGTCAAAATAACACACCACTTTTAGGGTCCTATTTTAATAAAGGTATCACCTAACATGGTCATTTCTGGGAGAGGAGATTATGAGTACTCTTCTTTGATCAAACCTTCGTTAGATTTATGTGTATCTGCCGTTTTAGCCACAGTTTTGGTGTATTACTTTTGAAATCCAGTTTTGAGTGGAGGTGAACAAATTATCCAACTCACCAAGTAAAGCAGGAACTCTTCTGACATTCTCTAAGGAAGGGGACGCTGAGACTTATGGGAAACGGAGTCCCGAATTTGATGGATTACCGGGAGGAGAGCGCTGGGAACTGGCCCCTCACGGCTCCTTCTGCGCATGTGCAGTTCTCCTCATTGTTCGCCCGCTCCCTGGTCTCTAGCTTCGCGCGGCAAATAATTCCGGAGCCTTCGAGTCTACGCATTGCTCAGTGAGGGGTCCTGCACGAAGGATGTGCGCTACAGGTGAGAACCTAGTTTGGAGGGGTTTTTTTTTTTGCTGAGCTTGGGGTAGGTTTTGTGCCCACACCTGGTGGAAGCAAAAACTTGCGCGAATCCCACGCAGGCTGAGACCCTATATAGCACTTGTTCCTGATTCTGGTCTACATTTGCCGCTAAAGAAAGCCAAGTGACAGAGCAGCTTGGCTACGGACCTACAGGTTCCACGAAGAGGCTAAGGGAGAAGCGCGGGTTACTAGGTCAGAATGAAGTGCGCTGAGAAAAAACATCCAAATGGTAACGAGCTGTTTCCAGAAGCTCCTCGAATTTGCATGTGCCCTGGCCAACCATTCATTATCGAGTCAAATCCAGGACACCGGCGGGGGTGAGAATAAATTCTGATAACATTTATTATGTGCAGGCTGATTTAAAAGCCTGAATTTGAACTAAGACAAGTTCAAATTCTAGCCTGGCCACTGAGTCTCCATGGACAAAATGATGAGCCTCTAAGTCTCAGTTTCCCCATCTGCCAAAGGAAGTTATTCCAAAAACCTGTCTCAAAGGCGTTTTGAGGATTGAATTAAGATAACCTGTAAACACTCAGCAGCGGTCCTGGCATTCACTAAGCACCCGGGAAATGTCAATTGCCTTTATCACTGTTGTTTTCATTAAGATCGTTATTGGTTCTCAAAGACCCCCTGGAAAGTCAGTATTACCCGTCCCATTTTAACTGACAAGAAAACCAAGACTCTGGAGGGGAAGTCTCCAGGCCAGTAATTGAAGGAGCTGGGATTACAAACCTCAAACAAATCCCATGCTGGGTCTTGTCTAGCAGCACATCCTTCACAGGACTAAGCAGAGTGGCACGTCCCTAAGAGCCACAGGGAAGGACCTGGAGTGTACAGGGAGAGTCTTCTCCAGAAGCTCTGGAGATGCCTCGGTATCTGTTCAGAGCCCTTGGGTTACTGCGTAATTGAGGCTTCTAGACTCTCATTGTCCATTGTCCTCTGCCCGCAGCAGTTTACAGACTCCCAAGCCAGATTTTCTGGCAGTGGTTCTCAAAAAAGTATGTATCAGAAACAGCTGGAGGGCTTGTTAAAACCCAATAGCTCTGTTGGGCCTCACCCCCAGAGTTTCTGGTTCAGGAGGTTTGGGGAGGGGCCCAAGAATTTGCATTTCTATCAGGTTCCCAGGTCACACTGATGCTGCTGGTTGGGGACCACTCTGTGAGAACTTCTGTTGTAGAGCATGGTGAATTCATTGCAAGAGAGAGTTGGGACTGAGGCTGGAGATTCCAATTGTTTGAATTTACCCTCCCTCCGCCCCAGCCAGGTACAAGTTTTCCCTGGATCACACAGATCTTGTGAGGAAAGAAGGAGGGGTTACCAGGAGTAGGACTCTTACCTGGGAGATCCTCACACTACCTGGACACGCTCACCACAGCTGCAGGGCAGAGATCCCAGAAACAAGCAGGTTCTCTATTTGCTTGCTTGGAAGCAATTCCTGATCCTTCTGCCCTGAGTAACACCACCACACCAGAGGTTGTGGAGAACCATTGGTCCGTGAGGTGTGGGCCAACTTTTCAAAGGGAGGGGGAATTGGGCTGAGGGTGGTGGGCAGGAGGCAGGCTTCTCAGGAAGAGGAAATTCTGAGGACGGTTGATGAGGACACGTCTGGGAGGAGGGCTAGGGAAGCACTCTCTCCACTCCTCCCAGAAACTCCTCCTAGATGCCCTTAATTCTCCAGCCCCTCTTCTGGGATTTTGCACAGCCCTCAAGCCACGCCCATCATCACATGAATTTAGAGATATGCCCCGCCCCCCATCCCTGACTTTATCTGGGTACAGGAAGAGTTTTCAGGGGTTCTGTAATCCTGCCTCAATTGGGGGCCTAAGGAAGTAATTAGCGTGGGGTTAAATACAGGGTTTCTGGAAGCACACCGCCAGGGTTCAAAGCCCAGCTCTACAGCATTACTTTAGCTTCTCAATTTCCTCATCTATAAAATGGGATAATAATAGTACCTACAGCTTGCTCTTTAAAAAACTTTTTTAATTGAATTGCCTTATTTAGTTTGTTAATCCTTGTTAGGATTTTTGCATCTAAGTTTATACGGGGAAACAAGTGGCTAAGTTTTTCTCCACTTATCCTAAACTGACATTGGCCTCAAGAGTACAGGAGCCATACAGATTGAATTGGGGAAGTTTATTTTTCTGTTTCTGGCATGTATTCTGTAGATTATTGTTTTTCTTGAAGGTTTGGGGAAAATTGCTTACACAAAAGGACTTGGAATTTTGTAGGTGTGTGTTAAATTTTTAATTCTGCTTTATTTTTTGTTTGGGTTTTTTTTTGTTTTTTTCTATTATATATATATTTTTATTGAAGTATAGCTGATTTACAGTGTTGTGTTAGTCTCAGGTGTACAACAGAGTGATTCAGTTACACATATATATTCTTTTTCAAATTCTTTTCCCATATAGGTTATTATAAAATATTAAGTATAGTTCCCTGTGCTATACAGTGAGTCCTTGTTGTTTATCTGTTTTATATACACTGGTGTGTAGATGTTATTCCCAGATTCCTCATCTTGCTCCATTTAAGGAATAAATGAGGTAATATATGTAAAGGACTTAGAACAATGTCTGTTACATAGTAAGCACTATGCAGGTATTGTTGGTATCACTAATATTAATATACCCACATTCTTATAATCTAGCTTGGTATTATTCGTAAGTGGTGGAACCAAAAGGTGCATCCAGGGCCCCTGCCTCCCCAGCCACTGTTCTGCCCACCGCATCTCAGTTAAGGCAAAACAAGTGTCTTAGTAAAACATCCTTTGAAGACACTGGAACCAAAGGAGAATAAATCCCTTTTTAAAAAAATAGACTTGTTAAAGCACCCCTATCCCTGTTGTCAGAAGTTCCTATTAATTCTTTAACTTCACAAAGTTAAAAATATCAGTAGAATTTCTATCAGGTTTTGGTTGTTGCATCATTTTATACACTTTTTAAAATGGAAATACTCAAAACATACAACAGTAAAGAAAATAATATGACTCTATATACTTGTCACAGCTTCAGCAATTATCAACATATATATCCTCCCTGCCACCAACATGCACACACGTACGCACGCGTGCATACACTTTCCCCCGCCACCTTCTTCTACTGGATTATTATTATTTTTAAATTAATTAATTTTTTTAGCTGCGTTGGGTCTTCGTTCCTGCGCGCTGGCTTTCTCTAGTTGCGGTGAGCGGGGGCTACTCTTCGTTGCGGTGCGCGGGCTTCTCATTGCGCTGGCTTCTCTCGTTGCGGAGCACAGGCTCTAGGCGCACGGGCTCAGTAGTTGTGGCACGCGGGCTCTAGAGCGCAGGCTCGGTAGTTGTGGTGCACGGGCTTAGCTGTTCCGCGGCAGGTGGGATCTTCCTGGACCAGGGCGCGAACCCATGTCCCCTGCCTTGGCAGGTGGATTCTTAACCAGTACGCCACCAGGGAAGCCCTCTACTGGATTATTTTAATGTAAATCCCAGACATCAAAAACTTTAGAAATGTAACAGGTTTAATAATAGCCAAAAGCACAGCATGGCATCCTTGCTATGCTATCTGGGTTTAACCAGGTCTTTCTTAGTTGGATTTTACCTTATTTTATATTTGTCTGCTGTTAAATCAAAGAAGGCTATAAATTGTAAGAGACCAATAAGGAAAAAATATTTACTCTCCACAATAAAAAGCCTGCTTCTTTTAGCTCCCCCTGGTTATACCAGGGTTGCAAGAGTCCCCTCAGCATGCCTGCCCCTTCTGAAGGGTCAGAGACAATCTCCCACCATGTGACTGTCAGCTAATACGTGGGGATTTCTAGGCAAGTGCTATAAGGACCTTCAAGGTTAATCATGTTTCTCACAATTTCTTTGCTCTCTCCCTTTCCTTCAGCTCTGCCTTCACAGTTCTCTGAACTTTTCCAGGAGCAGGAGAAAATGAACACAGCCCAGGTGAGTCGTTTACTTATTACTCAGTATTTTTCAGTGACATCTAAGAGTTGCTTTGCGTTTTTAATAACTTTCTTGTCAATTGTCCTTATTCATCTTTTCATTTCCCAACATTTTCCTGTTTTATTTTACTTTCCTTCTTTCTTCTTCTACTGGTTTTGAAGGTCTACATTTTATTTTTATTCCATTATTACCTTTGATGTGTTTAACACATATGTGAACACATTTTTCTACCAACAGCAGGAACATTTTCATCTGTAGTTTCATCCAAATAAGATACACTCCTCCCTTACCTCGGGCTTTGTGGAAATGCACTAAATATTTTTTATTTCATTCTCTCTTTACATAATAATTATGTATTCTTAGAATTCTTTGTTAACAATCGTATCACATCTTCTAGCTACTTAAACAATAATTATTTCAATTCTAATATACATTTCCCACTTATTTTTGCTGTCCCAAGTTTGAAGATAAAGCGACAGAATTATAATAGTCAGTTATAATATTACCTAGAATTTAGGGCTGCTTATTATGCTCCAGTCATTCTTAAATTCCTTACCTGGATTAGCTCATATAATTCTGACAACAGCATTAGGAGGTAGGCACTTTTATTATCCCCTTTTCACTAAAGTAAAAGTAAATAACTTCTCAAGAGCTTGTAACTGCAATCATTCTAAGGATACATCATTAGAAATTTGGCCAGATGGAGACCTGGAGTCCAAGTCCACTGCAAACTTTCCACCCTTTTTTGGGAGTAAGTCATCATCTGCTTGTGTTCCAACCAGCCCAAGATCTCGGAATGGGAGATCTCTTAGGCCTAGGGTTGCCAGATAAGACATAGGACGTATAAAATAAAGTAAATCTTAGCTCCATGCACGCTTCCCTTTCGTAGTCTATAAGTCACCCACCCTCTCTGGCTGTACCAAGAACCAGTTCCTGTAGCTCTGTCTGTCCACCACGAGTTCCGTATGGCACGCATTCTTTCCCAGATTCTGCTGAGCTTTGATAGAGGCCTCTGGAGCGGTCTACAGAATCACTATGTGGTTATACGCCTTCTGAGTCTGGGTATCTGAAAGGGCCTTTATTCTGCCCCACTCCATGAATGATTGACCGGTTATAGAATTTGGGGTTGAAATCCCTTTCCTTCAGAAGATTATGGATGATCTGCATTATCTCCCAGTATTTGGGGAGACTGAGAAGTCGTGTGGCAGCTTGATTCTCATTCCATTGTAGTAACCGGCTTTATTTTTTCTTCTTGCAAGTTTTTCATTATCCTTGGGCTTCAGATATTTCCGCAGGCAGTGTGTCTGGCTGCCCGTCTTTTTTCAGAGTGCCTGCTTGGTAACTGGATGGATCCTATGGAGATGAAGACTGACTTGCTCTGGGACATTTTCGGTTCTTTCTGTGATTATTTCCTTCCCTCCACTCTCTGTTCCTGCCACCCAGAAATCCCATGAGAAGGTCAGTTCCTCTCCCCAGTTGGCCCTCTGTGCTCCTTTACTTTCATCATTTCCATTTTTCCATGTTTTTATTCTGTGCGTTGAGAGATTTGCTCATTTTTGTCATTTGGGTCATTTTGTCTTCAAGTCTTATCTTAAGAGTTTTTGGGTTTTTTGTTGTTGTCCTAAGTCAGCAAAAGAATATTTAATATCTGTATCCTTTTTCTGTGTTCATAGCCAACTTTTCTCCTTTTAGGGAAATAAGACTCTCGTATATGATTTGCAGACTCCAATGGGAATACTTAAAAATTATTCTCTTCAGTATCTTTACTTACATTTGTTTTCATAGTCCTCAGTCTTTTGGTCTTGGTACTTATCTTTCAGGCTGTTACTCTTTACTGGCATTCAATTTGTTTAGCAGTCTTCAAATCTGTTATTCCTGATGCTTCTTTCTCAGATCGTTGTTTCCCCTCCAGCATCTGGACCCTTTGCTGTTTTCTGTATGAAGAGAAAGGTAAAGACCTCATTAGATCAATGTAGGCAGCTAATGTGTGATGCTCGGCAAGGCAGAGGTCTGTTTCCTTGGCAAGATTTTCCTCTGAACGAAAGGACTGACTTGGGGCCTCTTATAAGGATTATTGGGTTACGTGTACAGAACAGGCTTCACTTAGGCTCTCCAGAGAGGGACAAAGCTTGAGGGGACCCCCTTCCGCCTGCCAAAGGGGGTAGTGCCTTACCTGGTGGCAGAGCATGATAGTCTGTTTCCCCAGAGTTGCCTTAAAACAAAAGCTGTGACCGAATCAGGGGACTAAGCACAGTACCCTGCTCCTCTCTTTGGATGCAAGGTTCACGCAGACACCTAGAGGCAGTTCCTTGCTTTTGTTATTGTTGTTTAATTTTATTTTATACTGGAGTAGAGTTGACTAACAATGTTGTGTTAGTTTCAGGTGTACAGCAAAGTGATTTAGTTATACATGTACATATATCTATTCTTTTTCAGATTCTTGTCCCATATAGGTTATTACAGAGTGTTGAGTAGAGTTCCCTGTGCTATACAGCAAGTCCTTGTTGAAGTTCCTTGCTTTTTACAGGGAACGTTCTCCTGAGTGTTAACCCTCAGCCCACCCCTCCTGGGTGTCAGGAGTGTGGCAGCCCTTCCGTGACTCACGTTCACTGTTCTTCAGCCCAGAGCCCATCTTGGCTTCCAGCTGCAGCTGCTGCTGAGCTGGGAGGTCTCTCCGGGCTCTGAACAGAACTTGAGACTTTTGCACGTTCTATGTTTTGCATTAAGGGGCGAGCACAATGCCTCCAGTATCTGCCTCCTACTCTATATCTTCCAGAAACTTCCTCTGCTCTGAGAAGTATACTGGTGTTTTTATGACTCTCCCTGCTCTAGTTTTGGAGGCAGAGGAGGTTAGGTTGTGCAGTCAAATCTTTTTCTCCTCCGTGGAGCATACCCTGAAAAAACTGAGATTTAACCCCCCTCTCCCTTTGTGACCTCACTCTACCTCATACACACATTTTTTCATGGTTCCTGTAATTTATTACTGCATGTCTATGTTCATGTAGAAAGTCCCATCATTCTGTAAACTCCTTAAAGACAGGACCAGTGTCACACATACACAATGGAATCCTACTCAGCTGTAAAAAAGAATGAAATCATGCCATTTGCAGCAACATGGATGGACCTAGAGATTATCATACTAAATGAACTAAGTCAGAAAGAGAAAGACAAATACCATGTGATATCACTTATATGTGGAATCTAAAATATGACACAAATGAACTTATCTGCAAAACAGAAACAGACCCACAGACATAGAGAACAGACTTGTGGTTGCCAAGGGGGAGGGGGAGGGGGGAGGGACGGATTGGGAGTGCGGAGTTAGCAGATGCAAACTATTAATATATAGGATGGATAAACAACAAGGTCCTACTGTATAGAACAGGGAAGTGTATTCAATATCCTGTGATAAACCATAATAGAAAAGAATGAAAAAGTATGTATATATATGTATAACTGAATCACTTTGCTGTACAGTAGAAACTAACACAACATGGTAAATCAACTATACTTCAATAAAATAAATTAAAAAAACAGGACAAGTGTCTTACCTTAGCATTCTCTGTGGCTAGAACAATTGTAGGCCTGCAGAGGAACTCAACTTGTTTTATGAATCACCAACTAAAGATAGAGGCAGAGTATTTCTGGTATGATTTCTCTTTCTCCAACAAAATACAGGCAGACTTCATTTTATTGTACTTTGCTTTATTGAGCTTTTCAGATACTGCATTTTTTTTTTTTTACAAATTGAAGGTTTGTGGCAACCCTGCATCAGGCAAGTCTATTGGTGCCATTTTTTTTTTTTTTTTTTTTGCGGTACGCGGGCCTCACTGTTATGGCCTCTCCCGTTGTGGAGCACAGGCTCCTGACACGCAGGCTCAGTGGCCATGGCTCACGGGCCTAGCCTCTCCGCGGCATGTGGGATCTTCCCAGACCGGGGCACGAACCTGTGTCCCCTGCATCGGCAGACAGACTCTCAACCACTGCGCCTATTGGTGCCATTTTTACAACAGCATTTGCTCACTTCGTGTCTCTGTGTCACATTTTGGCAATTCTTGTAATATTTCAAACTTTTTCATTATTATTGTATTTGTTAGGGTGATCTGTGATCAGTGATCTTTGATGTTACTATTATAATTGTTTGGGGGCACCATGAACTTTGCCCATATAAGATGGCAAACTTAATCTATAAATGTTTTGTGTGTTCTGACTGCTCCACTGACCAGCTCTTCCCCCATCTCTCTCCCTCTCCTTAGACCCCCCCATCCCCTGAGATACAACACTATTGAAATTAGGCCACTTCATAGCCTTATGGTGGTTTCTAAGTGTTCAAGTGAAAGGAACAGTTGAATGTTTCTCATTTAAAATCAAAAGCTAGCAATGATTAAGCTTAGCGAGGGAGGCATGTTGAAAGTTGAGACAGGCTGAAAGCTAGGCCTTTTGTGCCAAACAGTTAGGCAAGTTGTGAAGGCAAAGGAAAAGTTCTTGAAGGAAATTAAAAGTGTTACTTCAGTGAAAACGCAAATGATAAGAAAGCTAAACAGCCTTATTGCTGATACGGAGAAAGTTTTAGTGGTCTGGATAGAAGATCAAAGCAGCCACAACATTTCCTTAAGCCAAAGACTAATCTAGAGAAAGACCCTAACTCTCTTCAATATTATGAAGGCTGAGAGAGGTCAGGAAGCTGCTATCTAGGACTTTCATAGCTAGAGAGGAGAAGTCAATGCCTGGCTTCAAAGGACAGGCTGACTCTCTTGTTAGTGGCTCATGCAGCTGGTGACTTGAAGTTGAAGCCAGTGCTCATTTACCATTCTGAAAATCCTAGGACCCTTAAGAATTATGCTACATCTACTCTGCCTGGGCTCTATAAATGGAACAACAAAGCCTGGATGCCAGCACATCTGTTTACAACATGGTTTCCTGAATATTTTAATCCCACTGTTGAGACCCACTGCCCCCCCCCAAAAAGAAGATTCCTTTCAAAATATTACAGCTCATTGACAATGCACCTGGTCACCCAGGAGCTATGATGGAGATGGACGATGAGATTAATGTTGTTCTCACGCTTGCTAACACAACATGCATTGTGCAGCTCATGGAGCAAGGAGTAATTTCTTTAAGAAGTACACTTCATAAGGCGATAGCTGGGCTTCCCTGGTGGTGCAGTGGTTAAGAATCCACCTGCCAATGCAGGGGACACAGGTTCAAGCCCTGGTCCAGGAAGATCCCACATGCCGCAGAGCAACTAATCCCGTGCACCACAACTACCGAGCCTGCGCTCTAGAGCCCATGAGCCACAACTACTGAGCCTGCATGCCACAACTACTGAAGCCCGCGTGCCTATGGCCCGTGCTCCGCAACAAGAGAAGCCACCACAGTGAGAAGCCTGTCACCACAATGCTCACCGCAACTAGAGAAAGCCAATGCACAGCAACAAAGACCCAAAGCAGCCAAAAATTAATTAATTATAAAAAAATAAGGCGATAGCTGCTGTAGATAGGTATTCCTCTGATGGATCTGGGCAAAATAAATTGAAAACCTTTTGGAAAGCATTTACCATTCTACATGCCATGAAGAACATTTGTGATTCATGGGAAAAAGTCAACATATCAACATTAACAAGAGTTTGGAAGAAGTTGATTCCAACCCCCAAGGATGACTTTGAGGGGTTCAAGACTTCAGTGGAGGAAGTAACTTCACGGGTGGTGGAAATAGCAATAGGATCAAAATTCGAAGTGGTGCCTGAAGATGTGATTGAATTGCTGCCATCTCATGATAAAACTTTAGCAGATGAGGAGTTGCATCTTTTGGATGAGCAAAGAAAGTGGTTCCTTGAGATGGAATCTACTCCTGGGAAAGATGCTGCAAAGATTGTTGAAATGACAACAAAGGATTTAGAATATTACACATACTTAGTTCATAAAGCAGTGGCAGGGTTTAAGAGGATTGACTCCGATTTTGAAACAAGTCCTACTCTGGGTAAAATGCTATCAAACAACATTGCATGCTAAAGAGAAATCGTTCGTGAAAGGAAGAATCAATCAATGTGGCAAAATTCATTGTTGTCTTATTTTAAGAAATTGCCATGGTCACCTCAGCTCTCAGCAGCCACCACCCTGATCAGCCACCAACATCACGGCTAGACCCTCCACCAGCAAAAAGATTACAACTTGCTGAAGGCTCGATTGTTAGCATTTTTTTAGCAATAAAGTGTTTTAAAATTAAGGCATGTATGTTGCTTTTTTAGATATAATGCTATTGCACGCTTAGTAAATAGCATAAATATAATGTTTATATGCACTGAGAAACCCCCCAAAATTCATGTGACTCGATTGCAGTAGTCTGGAACCAAACCTGCAATATCTCTGGGGTCTGCCTGTATAACATGATGGAAGGTATGTGGTAGATGACCTTTATAACATTTTCTGGTCAACTCTTTACAGTGAATACGGTAGGATCAGTACCCCCTACATATTTCCCGTGCCATCTGGTCTTGAGCACTGCAGACTGAGCAGCCTTGGGCTATTACAGGGATCGGTGTTGTTCGAGGATGTATCAGTGGACTTCACCCAGAAGGAGTGGCAGTTGCTGGACCGTGCTCAGAGGCTCCTGTACAGGGATGTGATGCTGGAGAACTACAGGCACCTGGTGTCCCTGGGTAAGCCCAGCTTCCTGTGCAGCTCCCGACAGCATGCATTTCCTGTCTTAGGAACCAAGTCACTGTAGCGCATCATGCATTTTGGGTTTGAGATTTTGGATTCAAAAACCTTTTAGGGAACTTGAAAGGATATTCTCACCCCCCTAGTGAAAGAGTCCCCATCATTCTACAGCTCCTAAAGCTTCTCCCTTCTGATTCTTCAAAGGGCTTGACTCCTAAGCAACTTTGCCAAGTCCCATGTCGTTTCCCACAACAGGTCACTGTGTTTCCAAACCTGAGCTGATACTCAAGTTGGAACAAGAAGAAGAACTGTGGGTATTGAAGGGACAGCTTCCAAGTGAGAGCCACCCAGGTGAGTTAATGAGGTCACCTGAAAGGCAGCCAGGGGAAACTGGATCCAAAGTGGCCAGTTCAGGGAGTAGTATCTTTGAAATGGCTTTTAGGAATCTCTTTTAGAGGCTCCAGACTTTTAGGAGTGACTAAAGGCAGATGACTACCATACCTTAAATATTAAGCCTCCATATATCACTCTCATAAATAAATGCTCTTTGTTTTCTGTTTGACTTTTTTTTTTTTTTTGCGGTACCTGGGCCTCTCACTGTTGTGGCCTCTCCCATTGCAGAGCACAGGCTCCGGACGCACAGGCTCAGCAGCCATGGCTCACAGGCCCAGCCACTCCGCGGTATGTGGGATCTTCCCGGACTGGGGCACGAACCCGTGTCCCCTGCATCGACAGGCAAACTCTCAACCACTGCGCCACCAGGGAAGCCCTCTGTTTGACTTTTATAGAGAGAGATTCGCTTGGTTTTTGTAGAATCCAGTTGCTGCCTTCCTCATCCTAGACCTTTATTTCTCTGTTTTTCTCTCTGTTCAATAATGGCCATCCTTTACGTTCCCTCCTGTGCCAAATGTTCTGTAAATATGCATTTGTTGATGGATCACTTGATTCAATAAATATTTACGAAGCACCAGCTATACACCAGTCATGTTCTAAGTCATAGGAGATACAAAAGCGAAGTCTCTGCTCCTATCAGTAGATCCAAATAGCAGATCCATATGTAACATGTCTGGTAGTAATTGGCACTCTGAGAAATTAAAGTCAGATGAAGGGGATGGAGACCAACAGGGAGTCCTTTTTCAAAAGGAAGTCAGGGAAGGCCCCTTTGAGGAGGTGGACATTTGAACAGGAGAGTAGAGTGGAGTCTTGAATAAAGGGATGGAGTGAGCGACGGGTTATCTGAGAGATTCCAGATCAAGGAACAGCAGATGCCAAGCCTGTGAGACAGGAGCATGCCTGGTGTAGTCAGAGAACAGCAGGGAAGTTGGTGCGACCGGAGGGGGTTCAGTGAGGAGAAAGCAGCAGATGATGTCAGAGAGTTAGCTAGAGGCAAAGCTTTATAGGCATGGTAAGACTGAATTCTACTCTGAGTAAGATAGTAGGCAAAAGAAGAGGTCAGGGACTGCACCCTTGAGCATTACATTTGGAGGTCACGGAGACAGGGCTCTAGCAAAAGAGACCAAGAAGGAGCACCCACTATGGTAGAGGGAGAATCAGAAGTCAGGGGTTTCCCAGGAGCCACGTGAAAAAAGTGGAATTCCCAATATTCAGATGCAAATGTAGTCAGCGTCGCCCTTTTTTTCCCCCTGCAAATTATCCAAAGGCCACAAGGAAAAAAAATTTAATGTCAATTCCATTTTTTTTATAGGTTCGAGGCAGCTGAAATCCCAAACTTTAAAAAAAGTGGAAAAACTGCCAAAAGCAATGAAAGTCAGGCTTGTTTGCAGAAATAGAGAGAAAGTATCATAGCTGTGGATATAGTGTTAGAACATATTATGCAGACAGTATTTACTTGCCGATTTTACCACAAATGGAACTTAAAGTGTTGAGATTTTTTTTTAACAGTGGGATAGTAGCATTACTCTGAAGGATATCTAGGTTCTGAGTAGAGCTAAGGACATAATATGTGCTAAGTGAAGACCATGAGAGTGTATTTGTTGTTGGAAACACACAGTTGATGGAATTAAATACCCTGGTCTGATAGGAGCTGACAATACTGTAGGCTTGTGGGATGATCAGTTGAACATGTGTTGTGAATTTAGGTATAAAAATCTAGTATAAAGTCTAAGTATGAAAATCCAATATCAGATTTTTCTTGCTAGCATATTGGCTTCTATTTGTTTTATCTGCTACAGAAAAGTCTAAAGTTTTAAGCATACAACCAATGTTATTGCATAAAATGAAAATAGTAGAAGGCAATAATAATCACTCATACCCCAAAATTTTTAAGACAAAGATTAATAAAGGTCCTAAGACCAAGTTGAATAGCCAGGTGCTTGAGTTCTCACAAAAAAAGAGAAATCAGAGGAATAAAAAACGATGTAAAAGTAGAATTAAACAACAAGGTTTTACTGTATTGCACAGGGAACTATATTCAATATCTTGTATTAAACTATAATGGAAAAGAATCGAAAAAAAGAATATAGGTATATACCTATGTACATGCATAACCGAATCACTTTGCTGTCCACCTAAAATTAACACAATATTGTAAATCAACTATACTTCAGTATTTTAAAAGTGAAATTAAAAATTAGTGTTGTGACAGGGCACAGTCAGTTGGTACAGTACATCAGCAGATTGAAAGAGGGAAAAGTAGAGTTGTCAATCAAGACAAATAACTATTGATTAGCTCTGATAGAATCAAATGATATGCAAACATGGCTTATCCTCTGTCTTTGCTCTGACCCTTCCCTTGATCACCCTTTAGTCTTCCTTGTCTCCCTACTCAGTGTCCCTTATCTTTGCCCCATTCTTTTAATACCCTCCATCCTTGGATCAGTTGTTTTCCTGACATCCTTTGGACTCACTTCACCACTCCTTGTGTTTTATTTCAAACTCTCTACCCATTTTGAGGTAATTTTTGTAACAAGCCAAAGCTTCTCATATTAATTTTCAGCTTTCTCTCCCTTTTTCTACTGCAATATGTGTTTTTGTTTTTGTTTTCATGTACCAACTAAAAGAGTAGGGTAAATATGTGCTTAGGAGTTCTTTCATCTCAGGAGACTGTGTCTGAAACCTAAGAATTAACTCAATTTAGGGCATTTGTATACAAGCCTATTCCTTAAGAAATGTGTTAAGATTTATAATGTATGTTAATTTTTTATATTTCTAGAAGTCCAAAGAACCAATAACATGGAAGAGATAAGCCAAGAAAATGAAGACAAGTATTTGAGGCAAGCTTTATTCATCAACAACAAAACATTGACTGAGGATAGAAATAAGACCTTCAGAGAAACACTTAATATGACCACAAATCCAGTGCCCTCAAAAAAAATATCCCATCAATGTGACCCATTTGTAACAAACTTGAAAAGTGTTTTTGATCTAGTTATTAGTAATAGAAGCAGTGTGAGAAAAAAATCTAATGATTTCAATGGATGTGGATTCCTTACTACTGTGCATGAGAAAACCCATACAGGGAACAAGCCCGGTGAAAATTATCAAAAGAGGAAATCCCACAGACAAATTGAGGACTTTATTCAATGTCAGAAGAATTCAGCTTTGGAGCAATGTCTTGAATATAATCATTGTGAGAAAGGTTTTCACAGAAAAGCATGTAAGACAGCTCATACAGGAGAGAAACCCTCTGAAGGTAACAAATATGGACAAGCCTTCCTCCAAAAGTTAAAGCTTGGTGCTTGTCCGAGAACTCTTAAGGAAAGGAAACCACACGAATCCAGTAAAAATAGGAAATCCTCATGCTTGAAGTCAAAACGTGCACATCAGAGAGCTCACTGTGAATGTAACAAATTGGGGAAATCTTTTAGCGAGAAGTCGAAACTTACTCAACATCAGAGAATGCACACAGGAGGAAAACCTGATGAGTATAACAGAAGTGAGGAGGCCTTGCAGAAGTCATCCCACACTCAAAATGAGCGAACTGATATAGAAGAGAAAATCTATGACTGTAACCAGTGTGGGAAATCCTTCCACAAAAAGCCACACCTGACTCAACATCCGAGAACTCACACAATGGAAAAACCCAGTAAGTGTAATGATAGTGAGAAAGCTGTGAAAAAGGAGTCCTACCTCGCTCTAAAGCAGAGAATTAACATGAGCGAGAAAAGCTTTAAAGGTAGTAAGTGTGAGAAATCCTCCCACAAGATGTTGAAACTCAGTCAACATCAGAGAATGTGCTCAGGGGAACCAAACAATGAGTGTAGTGAAAGTGGGAGGGTATTAAGTAAGAAATCACACCTCACTCAAAATCAGAGGGCTCACAAAGGGAAGAAAACCTATGACTGTAATAAATGTGGGGACAGCTTCCCTAAGAAAACAGACCTTTCTCAACATCAGAGTGTGCACACAGGAAAAAAGCCCTATGAATGTAGTGAATGTGGGAAGTCCTTTTTTGTAAAGTCCAACCTCACTGAGCATCAGAGAACTCACACAGGAGAAAAACCCTACAAATGTCGTGAATGCGGAAAATCCTTCTGCCAGAAGTCAGCCCTCACCGTACATCAGAGAACTCACACGGGAGAGAAACCCTATAAATGTAATGAATGTGGGAAAACCTTCTGTGTGAAGTCAAACCTTACTCAACATCAAAGGACCCACACAGGAGAGAAACCCTATAAATGTAATGAATGCTGGAAATCTTTCTGCGTGAAATCCAACCTCATTGTACATCAGAGAACTCATACAGGAGAGAAACCCTACAGATGTCCCGAATGTGGGAAAACCTTCTATGAAAAGTCAGCCCTCACAAAACATCAGAGAATTCACACAGGGGAAAAACCCTATGAATGTAATGAATGTAGAAAAACCTTCAGCCAGAGGTCAGCCCTCACCAAACATCAAAGAAAAAAACATAAGAAGAAAACTCCCACCAACACTCTCCACGTGCAGAAGCCATCCTCTGCAGTTCATAGCCATTGAACATCAGCAAAATCATAGGACAGAACCGCTTAGATGTCAACACATGTAGGAAAGTCTTTATCAATAGTTTAGAGCTCATTGGAATTAAAGAAGTAATATAGGAGCAAAATAGGAGCTCTCTATGAATGCTTTGATTGTGTGAAAGCTCTCAAGAATTTCAAAAATATGGAGGGCAAATGTATTATTTTAAGGAATATGGATAAAAATGTTCTTGTGGGAAAATGTTCTTGTGGCAATAGAAGTATTTCAGATGTGATATCAAACTTGTTACAAAAAAAGATAAAATATTCAGTTCTTAATAGAATGTGAAAGTGGAGCTTTTGTCGGGAATAAGTTAAGGTCATTGGCACAGCAGTGTTAAATCTATATGTGAAGACCTTCTGAAGTATATGGATAGGTATATAGTGCATGAGTGTGTTATATAACATGAATTACGTGTATGTTGGATTTACATAGGGAACCCACCTCTCTCTGAATCTCAACAATACAGTATATAAGTGAAAACTGAACAGTGACATAACGTGTGCCTCAACAATTGTACTTCTAGATACATACCCTAAAACAACTGGGCGTTCTAAAGGGTGTTTGGAAATACTGGGATGATTAGTTGTCACTATGATTGAGGGTGCTTCAGGCATTTAGTGTGTGGGAGAACCAAAGATACCCAATACCCTGCACCATGTCAGAGAAAGGACAGGAAAAGGGGCTCATCCAGGATGCCAGCAGCTCCATCACAGGAAAACCTTGCCCTAAAGAAACTCTTGCACATCTGCACCAACAAACATGTACAAGAAGGTTCATTGCAACCTTTCAGGGTTTTGTAATGACAATTGAAAAAAAGAGAAAGTAGCAAATGTCCATTAACAATAGACTAGATAAATATTGGTATGTTTATACAATGGGAATAACATACACCAATGAAAATGAACCTCAGTTATATATATCAAGATTGTTATCTTAATAATGTTTAATAAAAAAGGAAAATATAAATACCATGTTATTGCATTTATATAAAGTTCAAAAACAAAGAATTCAACAGTACACTGTTGAGGGATACATATATAAGCAGTAAAACTACAAAGGAAAGCCAGTGGATGATTAACACAAAATCTAGGATAGCAGTTACATCTATGGAGGAAGGAGGGGCTTACAATTAGGGAGGAAGCTTTATGTGGGAAATAGACCCACACAAATACGCCCAACTGTTTTTTTACAAAGGTGCAGAAGGAATTCAGTGGAGGAGAATAGACTTTTCAACAAATGATGCTGGGGCAGTTGGACAGCTATAGGTGAATAAATGAACCTCAACCTCCTGAGGAGGAAAGTATGGGCTTTGGTTTCAGACAAACCTGACTCTGAATGCCAGCTTTACCACTTACCACTGTGTGGTTCTGGCTTTAATAACCTTTTCTAATAAGGTTATTCAACCTTGCTGAGCCTCAAACCCAAGCCTAGAGCTCATCAATGACACGTTAGGGATGCAGGGGAAATAGAAGGTAAATGAATGGGCTACATTTAATTCACTAGGGTATGTTCCCAAAATGGCCAGCAGAGGGCTCTAGTCGCACATGAAAGACTCCACCACGTCTCTGCTCCGGCTGAAAACGGTCTGCCTTCCAATCCCCACTCCTCATTTCAGCCACCCATTTTCATTAATCCACATTAATTCACAGTGCTGGGGAGACATTTTTCACAGTTACATGTGTCACTGCGTTTCTGTCAAAGAAACATATCAGATAATTTAAATTATAATACTGTTTTTTTCCTGCCTACTTTAGTTTTTTTCTTAACGGAATAGACATGCATTCTCAACAGGGGCAATATTGCCCCCAAGGGGGTGAAAGTTTGTTCTTGGAGAAAAACAATTCTTAGCTATTGCAATGGTTTGTGGCCCTCAAAGGACCATATTACATAAACAGATATGCAGTATATCTGTGGTATTAAATTTTTATGGGGAGGACAATTAGGAAAAATAATATCTAAAAAGTCCCCTTGGAGGAGCTATAAACTTAAAAAAATAAAGGTTGGGAAACACTGGAATAAGGGGAGATGAATCAAGAGAAGATGCCATCATTGTACCACACCTGAAGTTAGGGACGCGTAGCATAATTCTTTCTCCTATAATTTGGGGACTGCCATGGCAGTGTCCAACCTCAACAATTCCTAACTGGAGGTCTTGTCATTGTTCAGAATGTCCCTCTGCCCCTTTCCGACTCCTCTGAGAGACACCACTTTCAGTGATTTAAAAGGAGTCTCTCCTGGGAGAACTTCAGAGATGCCGCATGCCCTCACCCTCCCACTGGAGTTGCCAAGATTGAGCAGAGGAGGGCCAGATGGCACAAGCAAGCTGAGTGAGTAAGCAACCCTGACCCCCATTTCATCCACCTGTTGCCTGCTCCTTGGCTTAAACCTATGGCTGAGGGAATTCCCTGGCTGTCCAGTGGTTAGGACTCCAAGCTTCCGGTGCTGGGGACCCGGATTCAATCCCTGGTCAGGGAACTAAGGTCCCGCAAGCCACTTGGCACTGCCAGAAGAAAAAAAAAAAAACCTATGGCTGCATGCAGTGGGAAGTGGGTCCCTTATGACCAGTTGACAGAGGAGGAAGAAGCCTGAGCTTGATATATGGAGGAGGTGCCCAATTTTGATGGTAGATGGACATATCCATCCATCATGGCCTCAAACTGAGAGCAGCATAGTTACCAGGAAGGGCTCAGATCCCTTAGGAATGAGTGTTGGAGGTCACACCACCAGGTAAGCCACCATATCCAGCAGAGATGCCAAGGGTGAGGGGAGTCTAGAATTGACAGTAGAGATTAGAGCTTTTCTGAGCAGCTGCCCCAGCTCTGCACCTACCTCTTGTTACACAAGGAAAAACAAATTTCTCATAGGTTTAAACCACTGTGATTCAGGTTTCTGTTACACGCATTTCTGGCTGATACAGTATTCCTAACAATAGCATATGCCTGGGTTTTGTTCTCTAATCCTATTTAGCACACCTTGCGTTTTAATAGGACAATTCAGTCCCTTTGAGATTACTGTAAAAATTGATATATTTTATTTTATTCCTTCCATTTTAATTCGAGCTTACTATTTATTTACTTTGTTATTTCTCTTTTTCTTGTTTTTGCTGGCTTGATAATATGGCCATTTATTATCTCTTTTTATTTTTTTAAGTATAATTTACATACAACAAATTGCACACATATTAGGTATACAGTTTAATGAGGGTTTTTTTGTAGTTGTTGTTTGGGGTTTCTCTGGCTGGGCCTCACAGCTTGTGGAATCTTAGTTCCCCAACCAGGGGTTGAATGCGGGCCCTTGGCAGTGAGAACATGGAGTCCTAACCACTGGACAGCCAGGGAATTCCCTCTGTTTTTCTTTTAGATTTTGGTGTTCTATAGAGCTAGCAATTACCTTTTCTTTTTCACATTCAGAAAAAAAATACATAATCACAATTATATAATCTTCCATTATATGAAAAACACCATCTATTTCTTCACATTAAGATGACCCATTGGGCTTCCCTGGTGGCGCAGTGGTTGGGAGTCTGCCTGCCGATGCGG